TTTTAAAAATCGTTTCAATATGGTCAATGAGCATAATTAGGTTTGAAGAATTGAAGCCTGAAGGCGCAAGAAGCAACTTCAGAGGTGCTTAATTTTTTTCCTCCACTGTTCCAATCTTTAGTAGAGCAGATTTTGTTGTCATGTGCTATTCGTTTAATAAAAAAACCTCCAAATGTATGACCCTTACGTGAAAAAATGCGTTTGGTTAGCCAAAGCCCCAAATAATCGCCCCTCTTCACAGTCCTGTGAAGGCAGAATCTGAAGTCCTGGTTTTTCTTGTCAATTAAAAAAAGATTCTGTTCGTCGATTTGTTCTTTCAAACTTTGAACATGACACATCGCTGCCTTTTCGCTGGACTTCACAAATGATGGTGACTTTGAAAATGGAAGGGACAGTTAACCAAATCTGGATGACACATTTAATTGAAATAAGTCTAGTTTAGACATGTTGCTGTTCGATTCTCCGGTGGGATTACTTCCTCTAATCTTCCAAAATGCAGCAATAACGGTGGGAAAGCCTGTGCCATCGGAGTATAAAGGCAGCAAAGGGAGCTCTGCCAAGTCCATGGAAACACTGACTTAGCTTTTAATTTTCTAAAGAGATCTGGTGTTCCTGGAGAATGGGAAGTAACACGACCTAGTGATATCTGGATACAAGCTATCGACCTGAAGTTTCTTTTTTAGGAGGCTGATTTTCAATGAAAGACAGAAAATCTCATGTCTGTGTTCGATATTACAAATTTCTTCACTGCTTCCTCAATTTGTTCTTAATTGAATTTCTTTATGATTTTATGTGGATTGTTTTGTGTGCTGAGTGACTTCTGACCTTTAGGAAAGAGAGGATTACTTTCTCAGGAACACCGGTTTCATGGGTTTTCTTCTTTTTTCTAATTAACCTGGTTCTTTTTAAAAAACCAACCCTTTCTCCCCCGATTTTGTACATTAGATGCCCCCGAAGTTTGGGAATATATAGTCATTTTGGACATCGTCGCTGATTATCTTTGTGTTTGTACCAGATCATCTGACCTGCATTTTCCAGCTTTCTTTTTAAATTAATTTTCCTTTGAACCACAAATAGCTTCATTTTGCAATGGGCGAGAAGCCTTCTAGAACTCGTTGGGACAGTTGTCTTCTTTTGTTTTATGCTGTGTTGCAAATCCGGGCTGGGGGAAGCCAAACCTCGTGTGATGCACCTGTTGGCTTTTCAGTCTGATTTCTTTAATTTTCCTAATGCACACCTGCTTGATGAGATTTGAATGTTGCTTCTCGCTTGCAAACTGAAGGGATTTCCTCTTTGCGCGTTTCAGAAATAGCCCGTGTCTCTCGTGGATTCTCTTTGACTCCCAAGCTGCTCTATAGAAATCGCTCCAGCTCTTCAAATTTATTAAATAACAGAACTGTTTTAAGTCTCTGGGGTGTTTTCACAGAAAGCTTTGTTTGGGAAGTGAGCTTCCCAAAGAAAGCAAACTTTGGACTCTTTGTGTTTAAAAACAAGCACATCTTTTGTTTTGGAGTGTTACCGGCAACCATCCATTGTTCTAAATAAAAGATCACTAAAACCACAGTGAGCCAACCTTAGATGATCTAAATCCTTCACTCTCCTTGTATAAGTGCCTCTGCCTTCCAAAATACTGTTGCCTTTTTGCCAAAGCGCTGAATTATAATGCTGCGTGTATTTTGTGTGTGTATTAGCGGGGTTGTTATGCGACTCTTGGGTAAGTGCTGCTTACAAATTACAGTGCTTCGTGCCGCTTTGGACTAGCAAGCCGTCCAAAAAAAGTCAAATCCCTTCTCACTGAAGTATTTCTGTCTTTTCTAATATGGACTTCCCCAAGTTACAGGTCTCATTTGCAGGATCTTGCTTTAGAGCTGCCTTTCTAACTTTTTTTGAGGTTTGACATATGTGGAATGAGACAGCCGAAAGCTTTCCTGTATGGGATCATTTATTGATAGAGAACAGAATGTGAGCACGCTTCAGTTTTCTAATGTGCTTTGCACATGTTTTTGGGATGTTTCCCTCTACTACAGGTAAATTATATTTCTAATGTAACGGTGAATTTTTTATCTACAAAGTAATTACTCCCCTGTCATTAGCATTAGGTTTTTCTTCATTCATCGGTGGACTGTTATGAAATGTGGTTGCTAAAGACCCGTTTGTAGAATAACACTGGAGATTATAGTATCAACTGGATAGATTTATACATCTGAAATTCATTTAGCTTTTATATTCACTATCTTTGTACTTAAGAGCTGATTTTTCATGCCTAATTTGCACGTGCACTCACTGTGACTGAGTCTGCGAACAGCAGGCGTTTTGTCCATACCGATTCTTATACTTTTGACCACCGTAACAGCTAAGTAGGATTTTCATGAATGAGGGAAAAGAAATGAGCACACCTGGATTTGAAAATCTGTGCCTGCTGTGTTGGGTGTCTCTGGCCTCAAATCTTCTCTGACTCTACCCTGTTTAGTTCATTATCTGTTTTCCACGTTTTCCTCCGTAGTCGTGTTCTCTCCATGAAAGCAGAGGTCTCTCTGTCTGGCATTTCCTGGCCATTCCTTATCACAATGATTCAATGATAACTTTGGGAATCAGTGAGTAAAAGAAGGTCTTTTCCTGTCTTCCCTCAGAAGAGCAATTTCTGGGATGTTTTATGTCACAGCTCTGGCACTCACTCATCTTTCTCAAGCTCTTGAGCTACATGGCTTGGGTCTCCTGGTAGGAACAGCTCCCTGCACCTGAGACTATCTTGTCCCAAATATTTTCTGTTACTTTTGACTGTTCTTTGAATTAAGTGACATCCTAGTCTATCGCATGGATTACACCACAATAGTTCAAACTCCTAGCGCAACTGCTTTTCTCTGAGAGTTTCCTCTGACCTGCGATTGATTCAGTCACTTCTCTAAGCACCAACGTGCAAGTCATTAAAACAACGTGCAAGTCATTAAAATGTATTTATGAATGAAATATGGAAGGGTTTTTTCAAAATAACCACAGAGCAGATGATTGTGTTTTATGCTGGACTACACGAGTTCTTTTTGTACGTCCTGACAGCTGAAGTCACATAAAGAGTTAAAGCAGAACTGTTTGCATTGGACATTTGTAAACCCCTTTCTCTGGGTAGTGCATGTTAGTAATGGCTTACACGGAGAAATGTGGTCTCGATATTGACAATACAGAATGTGCTTTCCTTTTGCTGACACCTATGGAAAGGAAATTGCTGCATAGCAGCAGATGAGAACTTCAGTCGATTTTCCCCCTTTCTTACTCCCTCCTCCTTTTTGGAGACATAGCATAGGGGTTGCAAAGCAATCTCTAAGTAACGTGCTTGCCAGTGAGAAGCCTTGGGGCCTTCAAAGTGCTTTAGAATTAGCTTTTTGATGCCAGTGTCTTCCTCCTGTTCGTTCGCCACTTTATTTCCAATGGCTTTTTGAACAGATCTATTAAAAAAAAAAGTAAGGACATAAGTGTGTTGAAAAGCAGGACGATGACTTCAGAGATACGATACTGGACTATGTTAGATGGGTAACCTGCATATTTCAGGTTTTGAGGATTCTGGGCTCGTTTGTAATACAAAGGAAAGTGCAAAGCTCTTAGTTTGTGCAAACCTGGAATTTTGGGGCCGTTGGCTTCAAATCATTTGTTTTACAGGAGCAGACCATACTCTGTTCATAGGACTATACGGGATCCTAAGCAAGTACTTCAGAGAATCAGGGTCCGATTTGAGAACAAGATCCAAAACCTAGTAGGCTGAAAAGATTATTTTACTTTGCAGCGTATGGAAGGCAATTTGTACCAAAAGGAAAATAAGAATCTTGGAGAGCCTTTGAGCATAGTTATGTTGCATAAAAATATGCGTTACAGCATTGGATTGTTTTTTTAACTACTATATTGCATATCTAAATCCAGAAAGTTTAGAAGTGCTGAATTTTTAGAGAATGCTGAATGTTCAGATCGGTCTTAATTTTTGCACTTTTGCATTTACTTTTTCAAGTACTTTTTCTGCAGGCATGGGGATTATAAATTTCTCTTAACATGCGATCAAATGCTCTCAGCTGGTGATGCTTTAAGCAAAATCCAAACCACCCTGAAGCTTACGATGAAGTGGCAGAGCTCTGGAGCAATACGAGGAGGCCCTTAAAACAGCTGACAATGCACAACATGTTTCCTTCCTGGTTTTCTAGCCATCTGTCCAAATGTTGAAACAAGTATTTCTTGTCATACCTGAAATATTCTTTCTGCTCCCTCTGTTGCTTGTATAACTTGGGTTTGCCTCCAGGTGCAGAGGTTGCACGTGATTGTGAACCTCGTTTGAGTTGGCAGCAGGACTCACCTGAACGAACTTCGTTTGCAAATACTTGGTTCAGCTCACGAGTCGGCGTGGTGTTTGTATAACAGCTTGGCAACTTAGCACCCAATGCTGGAAATTGCGTGATGTGGCTCCTTAAATGACTTAATACTAGTAGCAAAGTTGTCAGAATATTCTAATTTTGCATTGCATGCTTCTGATGAATTTTGAACTGAGCTTTGAAAGAGATTTTTTTTATTTTTTTTTTTCTTATAGGGAGCTCTATATGGCTTCCTACTTAGCAGATCTACAAGTATTGTGGGGCACTATCAGTGAGAAATCAAGTTTTATCCGATTTTGGAGTGTTGGATCCTTCTGTTGGTTCGTGTTGCAGAGCTTGACCCTAATAGTTCGGTTTCCATGGACAAAAACGTACATTAGCAACGCTCACATTTCAAAACGCTGACATTTCAGAATACATGACTGTGCGTACATGATGACTCAGTTTTGGGAATACTTGTTGAAATCACATCGCAGTACTTCGGTGTTTCTCATAATGTCATTATATCCCTTTGGGCAGCATCAAGCTTGAGGGCAGTTGTAAAAGTTTGATAGTTGCTTTGTTCGCTTTGTATGTGCGACACCTCTGCGTTTCCCTGAAAATGTGGAGTTACGCTGGTTTTCACTTCTTTGTGTTTCTCTCTGATTACAGGTCACCTCTTTTACAAATTTGGGATTACAGAATCCGACTGGTATCGAATCAAGCAAAGCATAGACTCCAAATGCCGAACGGCCTGGAGGCGGAAACAGCGAGGGCAGAGTCTTGCCGTGAAAAGCTTTTCAAGGCGAACACCTTCATCCTCGTCTTACAGTGGTTCAGGTAAAAAACCAACCAAAAAAAAACCCCTAAATCCCCCAAACTCAAACAAACCCCAACGGAAATGGAAGCTTAGTGTACTGATGCCATTTGTTTTTCAATACATCTGAAAATTATTTTGATGTTAAGGTTTTTTTGTTTTTTTGTTTTTGTTGTTTTGTTTTGAAGTCCCATTTATCGTTGACAAAGAGGCTGCTCTGTTACAGGGTCTGTATGTCTAAGGTGCTCCTCAAGGAGTGTATCCATGTACTAAGTGAAGCCAACCATTGGTAGGTAAATCATCACGGTCCTTCAGTGCAAACTGGCCACCTCCTGGGACATGTGAAGTCCTTTGTACCCTTGTGGGGCTTGTACCAAAGTATTTCCCTGGTAGGATGAGCTTCTAATCCTGTTTCATCCACAGATTGCAGTCACGCTCCTGGCTGCAGTGCACTAATGATCGTAGAAGGGAAGTAAGGTGTGTGTATGTTTGCTCGTAAAGAGAAGAGAGAGAAGGGAGTCTCTCTCAACTGGCAACAAAATTCAGATTTGCCAGAAATGGAAGCGTGGTGTATTCCAGCATGTGAGAGAGATGACTTTGCTGATTTGTACCTTATCTGAATGCTCGGCTTCCCGGAGATGCTTCAGAACATCCCTCCGCATGTGTTAACCGAAAAAAACCAGCACATGCAGCTTCATGCTGTCCTGTGAGGTTTTTTACCGCGTTCAGTTTTTTGGAGCAGATTGAAACCTTTCTGCAAATGATGTTCGTAAGAGAAGTCAAGCGAATAAATCTTTCTCGGTGTGGTCACACCACTGAGTCGGACGTGCTAAATTCTGTTCCTGAAGTGTTTTCTTCTGACGGAATTAAGTATGTTGTAGGTGATCCTGTGTTTCCATTGTAGGTATGTAGGCAGGAATAATAATAACAAATGAAAAATACTGACCTAAGAAGTGTTCTCGCAGGACGTTTCTGGCTCATGCTTTTAATATAAAGCAGTGTTATGGGACATTTGTACATCATATATTAAAAACAGTGTTTTGGAAGTGAGCCCAAAGAAAAGGAAGTAAGTTTATTTGCCTGCATAAAATTTTTGGTTGCATGTTAACACTAACCACTGTATCTCATGCAAAGAATGCCAAAATCTGCTTTCAATGGAAAACTTTATGTGCTGGAACTGGGAATCATATCCAAAATTCTCAAATTAAAGCAACTAATCAACGTAATGATAACCATAAGCCGTATATATTGATGGGATTTTTATTTTCAGTCTCTTAGCAATGTGGATTTTAGAACAAAAATGCAGTAGTAAGTGGATATTATGGGCCTGTGCTCATTAGACCATGCTCCCTGACTGTTGTTGAGATTTATTATTAAAAAAATATTAATCTTTAATCTTCTGGTTTGGAGATTTGGGGAGACCAGTGGAGAGATGTAAAACACAGACTCAGGCTTAGCGCATTCTTGTCTTCGGAAGGCTGTAAGTTAGTAAGTTTTGGTGGTTTTTTTTTTTGTTGTGGTTAAGCTGAAAACTCAGTGGTTTTTTTTCCCCGAATATGGGTACAAAGACACCTGAGCTAACTCTGGGGTTTCAGCAGGGTTCTGTCTGAGCAGGTGGGAGCGGTGCAGTGCAGACGCTCAGGAGCTGGTTCTGCGAGGCCCCCCTTGGTATTTTGGGCTGTGCGCCCCGGCCGGCTCGCTTTGCTGAAGCTGAGCTTGGCTGTCGTCGGTAATTCAGCCTCCAGGATTTCACCAGGAGGGTTTATGCCACCTGGATCTCCCACCGTAGAGGCTATCTCATCTCCCCTAGAGCGCAGAGAGGTGGCTTTGGTCCTGACGATGATGAAGGTCGGCTGAGGCACCTTGGCATGTCACTGGCAGGACTGTATAGACTGTGCAGCCAAGAGTCTCGAGTGCTGGCAATAACATTAACAGCTGCCTTTGGTAACGGTATGTGAAAATGTTCCCATGGCTTCAGAGTCTTTTGTTAATTTTCTTTTAAAATAGCGCTTTTACTCAGAACACCGTTGGCATCGTTTTTCTGGGAGGCTGTAAAGATGTGTTAGATGAATTCACCGCGACATTCTCGCCCACTGTGAAAAAAGCTCTCAGAAAACCAGACTGCTTCTCAGAATCAGGTGGTCCTTGGAAAAAATGGTTTGCATTCCGAAACCAGGTGAGAGTGGGATTTCACCTAAAAAAAAGACAAGGAGGTACGAGGAAAACCAGGATTGAGAGGCTAAATGAGCATACAGGGAAAAGAAAGAGAAGATGTGAAGAGAAAATGCAGATTCACGTGTGTTTAAAAAAGTAACTTTTGCATGACAGGGTTGTAATTCCACCGCTCTCTTCAGGTAACTTCATGAACCGCTCAGACTTTGCCTCGGTGGTTTGACATCCCTGGAACCCCTCGATGGAATTACAGCATCATAACTCACAGGCATCTGGTCCTTATTATACACACTGTAGAGTGAATGTAGCAGAACTCCTGCTGCCAGCTAGCAGGAAAGAGAAGTAATATTTCACAGCTCTGAAGTAAAGGAGGTCTGTATTTCACGGTTATGACAACATAGCTGTCAAATATGGCTTTTTAAAGTGTTACATATGAACCCAGACAGTTTTTATGGTAGCATTTGTTTCAGGGGGCAATTTAAGGTGAGCCTTGAAATTCAGCTACTTGAGAAACAGTCTTTCCCTCTGTTGTTGGTTATAGCTATGGAGTTCAGCTTCCAGGTGCTCCGTGTCAGGTCCCCACCTGGCTGTGCTTGCTGCTGTCTGCAGAAGAATCCCTGTGCCTGGTGTCACTGAGGGACACGTTGCTCCGTGTCACAGCCCAACGGCCATTCGAGTTGTTTATCGGTTGGGTGGAATGTAGTAACTGCAAAAGATACAACGAAGAAAACGATGCAGTCGATACAGTCGGGAAAAGGATTTTACAAGGTCGCGAATGGCTACTGTGTGGTGTTTACACTGTGAAGGATGAGGGGCTGTACAGCGTAGTTTCTTGTGTGATGTCCTCTGAGCTGTTCTGAGGAGCTTTGGCTCCACTCAGCATAAGACTGTAGGACTCCTATTCAAAGAAGCTCTAATTGATTGGTTTAATCAGGAAATTTAGTAGGGCATAGTTCAGGTTGGGCCACTGAGCATCTTAAGGTAAGTGTGTTGGGTTCTCTGGTGGTTCAGCCACAGCGGTGGTGTCACACACAGCCAGCAGAAAAGCTCTTTCACGTCTTCTAAACAAACCTTTTGGGTTATGCCCCGCGGGAGAAAAATTCACACCCTCCCCTTTCTACCGGGTTAAATATGACAAGCCTATTTGTGGAAGTACTTAAACCCACTGACTCTTAGCTAAATGACCATCATTTCCTAGGGAAGGTTTAGGGCTTTTCCTAGAAGATTTTCCCATGGTGTTCAGAAAGCGCCATCAGCAGCTGCCTCGGTAGATGCAGAGTGTCTGCCATGCAGGGAGCTGCTCTGAAAACATCATTAAGAGCTTTAAATATGATTTTAACGTCCTGAGCGTGAATGAATGAACACCACGTTCTCTGTATGAACTTTTTCCAGAGTTCGGGAAGGATTTTCCACTTCTGGACCTGTGATTGTAGTGTGTCATATTAAAGCTGTGACCAAGACATGCAACAAAAAACCCCAGACTCAAATCCCAAACTGCACTGTTTGATTGGCTTCAAGTAATATTTTTCATCAGCTCTCTCTAGGGGCTGGTAATAGCAAGAGAGCTTTCTGTTATGTCCTCGTGTTGTAATATGTGTTTCAATCAGCAGAAAATTACTGTACTTGCTCCACATATTGCAAAGGAGCCCCATTCTCCTTAAGTGTTACAGAATATTTTCTTAAATGCTGGTGTACTAAAAGTCTGAAATGACTTAGTGTTTTCTGTTTGACAATGAAAATTGTAGAAGATCTCTACATATCATTCAAAATACTATTTTTGTGAGTCCTTAGATAGTCTCAAATCAGCGTGATCACTGCCTTGCTGCACATCCTCCCTATGATCTAGGGGACTTGACTTTTCCAGAGCTGCTTTTTAGCAGCAATTGCTTTACTTGAATTAAAAGGGAAAAAAAAAGAAATAGAGCAGCCTGAACATCACCTGCCTGTGACCTGACTTTGATTCTGTGATTTTTGTGGGGTTTTTTATGAGTTATTGCACACGTAACAAATAATTCTGAATTATTGACGTCTCAAGAGGATTGCTGTTCTTGAGCTTCGTTCTTCTGTACTGGTTGGGCTCGTCAAAACTTTTCTCCTTGTGCATAAAAGTTTTTGTAGCACGTGGCTTTGATTTGGGTCGTGCGGTTAAAAATTGTTTCCTCTCTGCTCCGTTTATCATATGGAAAAATTAGCTCTGTAAATGACATAGAAAAGCAGGAGGCTGAGCCCATCGCCTTACAAGTTTTTGGCGTTGTGGTTCTGTTACCGCCTTCAACTGTTACGAGCTGAGGGAGGAACTGATTCGCAGACAAAAACTTGTCTAAGGAAGCTGGTAGGAAAACAGGAATGAGTCTCTGCTCTGTTCTTCACCCCTAAAGATGTTAATTGCGATTGTTCCGCATTTAATTGACTGTGCAGCTTTACAGTAGCCACAAGATTTATGGGTTGCAAGAAGTTGTTGTGGCAGACGGGTCTATTTAGGCAGAAGTTGGTTTTCCTTATTTTATCTGGCTCTTCTGTTTGAAGCTCTTGCATTTTGTTGGAATTGCGGTTAATGGCAGTGGTTTGCTCTGCGCTCTTTGGAGCCAACACTTGGGTCCTTCATACATTTTTCTCCTTTCCCCCCCCCTCCCCCCTCTCCTGACTAGTTGTACACGAGTGCCATGATAATTTAGCTAGATACTCTTAAAAATCGTCAGCAGTCTGTGGAGGGAAGGCAGTAGGAAAGGAGGTTTGGGGGAGGAGGATTAATTGAAGAGCGCCTTCTCCCTTTCTTTTAATTTCGCTTAAGATTGTTAAAGCTGTTATCATGGATTTCCATGTTGGAATTTTTAATTAGCTCTATGACTTTGGGATTTATTGTGCTCAGCCTGTGCTGAGATGTCACACAGAAAAATGGACGTGCAGCCAAATCCTCCAAGCCGTTCTGCAAAACTTGAGGCGTTTAGCACTGGATGAGTCAGGTTGAGAATAATGACTTACAGTGTGCAGTTTTATTTCTCCTAATTGTTGGTAATGATGCATTCCCTGCTTTTTGTTTTTGAGGACTTCTTTGCCCTTAACTTTCCCTGGCTAGGGCTGTATGTCAAGGAGGCCAGAGAATTATGTCCTTGTTTGTAAGCAGAAGCAGGAGGCTGGGAGACATATCCACAAGGAAAACAATTTTGAATAACAACACATGAGCATGAATTCCCTCTGCTTCAGCATCTCTACCTCCTGCATTTCCTTCCAAAACGAGAAGCCAGATGCTCCACTGATAAATGTGGAGTAGGATAGGAAAGAAGTAGAAAATGCCAGAGGTTTTGCCTTTGAAGTGAGGAATTGTAGAACTGATCTTAGTGGAGAATTCAACGCACATATTCTTGAAACGGTTACAAATTACATTTGTCTGACAAATCTAATCTTGCTCGGTAATATCCGAGGAAGATTAGCTTTGATAAACGTGACAGAAGTAGCTGCCTCAGTGGAGGTGATTTTGGCAACTCTTGAACGTTCGTGTGAAAAGACAGGCAAAATTATCTTTGACTCAGAAGTAAATGGAAAACATAAAAGGTCCGGTTTCAACTTGGGGTGTTTTTGTTTCGTTTTGGGTTGTTGGGTTTTTTCCCCTCCCCATATCACAACTTAAATCACCTGTAGGATGGCCAGGGCAGCGTCTTCTGTGCGTGGCTCCGGCAGTGTTGGGTGCTCGAGGGACGCCGTGAGGAATTCACTCAGTAGCAGCACCGCGTAAGCTACTCAGCCCATCTCAAAGTCCCCTTTGTAAGCAGCGCGCTGGGAAATCTCAAAGCAGGAGCTCAGCTGTGGAGCTTCTCAGTGCCAGGGATTCTCTAATATATCAAAGTTGTAAATGTGAGGCTGGTTAGTTTACATGATAGTGATTTATAACTGTTGACATATCCTCTAGTCAAGCTGTGTGCTATTCATGTTTGTGTTTGTTTTGAAAGGGGAATGTTTAAGAATGGATAAATATTACTTTTGTCTGGTCAAAGATTTAGAGGGGAAAAACAATACTTCTAAAGGATGTTTTGTTTTTAGACACTGTTGAATCCTCTCTCTTCTTTCTTCCAAAGAAGAAAAAGCCCCACCAAAATCCAAAAAAAAAAAAAAAAAAGAAAGAAAACCCAACTGTGGTTGTTGCAGCGAAGCCAAACTGAAATCTGTTTATAAGGGACCATGCGAGATGTGCACTAGGATTGCGTTCAGTCTGTGTCTCCTGTTCCCACCTCTAGCATCTGTGAAGCAAAAGGTGGTTTACAAAGAAAAGGGTTTGGACCTTACAGTTAAAAATGTATTTCAGTCTGTACATATAACGTAAAGCTATCAGTGGCAGCTCTTTTTTCTTTGATGCTCTTATTGCATACCTTAATCGAGCAGTAAATATTCATTATGAATGCTTCTTTGTTTTCTCAGAAGCGCAGCATTGTGCAGCTTGTGTAAGGGTAAATGTAAGCAACGGGGCGAGTCCTGCTAGAGGGTTATTAAAGCTGGGAGTGAAATCACATGTTCACCTCGCTCGTGTCCCAAGCCTGGTTTTGCTGTTTATGTTTGTGTATTTACATTTACACTGTATATGTTTGAGCACATGGAGTTCTGAAAGCCTCTGTGTGTAGAGACGCACGCACCTAAAAGAAGGATTATGTGTTTAGGCACCGTGTTTGACTAGCAATTGGGTTGTACTCAGTGGTGGAATTACGTGGCGAGAGACCGGGAAGCGTGATGGCAAGGCAAAATCATGATGGAATTGGCCTAGTGGTAGCCTGTAAGAAGCGAGATGAGTAGCAGTGGGCTCTTGTAGCCGTGTGGCATCCTAACAGAATGCTATTTGGGAAATAAAAAGAGCAGAAAATTAACCGCATCAAATATTCTTAGGGCTGAAGTGATGGAAATGAGAGAAAAAGGGAAAAAGGAAGAAGCTAAGGTAAACCATCTGTCTAGGCTACCTGTTACTCTCCGTGACCATGACAAAGCCACTGGCAATGACGATCAAGTATCGGAATTTTAACAAATCACATCTTTATTAGGTTGATGGTGCAGTTTGTCATACGAGGTATAAGGCTTTTCTGCCAGAATTCCGTACGGCAAACTTCTGGGGTACGGCAGGAAATGCTGGAATTGGAGAGTGAGCAGGAGGACTATATTCAAGAAGTTATGAACGTTTTGCAGTTACCTGCTGCTCAAATGTAAAGTATAAGAGATACATGTCCAACAGGCAGCAGAAACTTGTTCCTTTTTGCTGAGTTACTGTGCCAGTGTTCTGGTCGTAGTTATATATTTGCAGATTGTTGGCATCATTAGAGCTGTCTAAGTTGAATTGTTAAGCAAGTAAACTTTTCAACAAATAACTAAATACTAGCTTGGTGGGTTTCAGTTAGTTTCCAGTTTCCATGTTTAGACTTAAACCTCAAAATTATCTTCTTATATAAACATTTGAAGATAGGATTAAAAAGAAAATGAACTATTTTATTTAAGAACACTTCCATTAAAATATTTGTCTGAGTGGATAAGGCTCATTCTTGTAAAACTAATACTCTCTTTGCAGTTTAAGTCTGAGAGTATTAAGTAGGGGTATTAACATGTTGTGAAACGTGGCTTCCTGCTGCGTTGGTTCAAACAAACCGTCATTTTAAAAATTAAAATGTGTCCCCCATCAGTCATCTCTGAGCCTATCTAGTGCTTATTTAAGCAATCTTGTGAGGAAATGATCTACAGTGGAATCAAAGTGATGCTATTTCTTAAATATTTTCATTGTAGTTTCCGGTACTTGGACAGCTTGAAAGCTTTATAGTATTGAGTGGTACTACGTGGTGAACGTTAATGTGGTTTATGTTACCTTGTAGCATAGAAATCGTCAGAGCAATAAATAATTTAGAAAATTTGTAAAGCACTTAATGCCTCCACGATTTCATTCAACCTATTTTTGTGGCACAGCAAAAGAAAAATGTTAATGGTGTTTACAGGAATGCTCTATCTAAGCATTTCTTCACATACGTTTTTCTAAAAGCCCTTTATGACAGTCCTATTCTCCAAGATTTCTCAGATGGAGAGAACGCCTTTATTTTTACCATAAACTTCAATTTACAGGATGGGTTTTCAAATATATCATTGTGGTGGTGGCAGTGAAAGGTGTCAGCCATGCAGGTGCACAGAAAGCACTGAGCTGCTGAGAAAAGGCCTGTGAGTTCGCAACGATACGACCTTTACAATTGCAGAATCTATAATCTGGATTCAAAAGATGCTTTTTAAGTGGGTGTTTTCTCAGAGGCCAAATGGCCTTTTTGGAACTCCTTTAGAATTTGTAGCGAAGACACGGGCGAGTGGTGAACGTGCCCAAGAATATTGCTGTTGCATCTGCTTACTGACGGCATTTGTTTTCCATGGCTTTTTAGTCTGCATCATTGCGTGGCCGCTGGGCCGAGAGGTACGTGGATAATAAGTCTGGATTTTTTCTTGTTTCTCTTCCAGAGGGTTCCCAGAGTTCAGTTTCAGCTTCTAACGAGATGCAGCAGAACCAGCCGCAGGCCCTACACTATGCACTAGCCAACGCTCAGCAGGTTCAGATCCACCAAATAGGAGAAGATGGACAAGTCCAAGTAGTATGTACTCAACTTCTTTTTAAATTATTCTATTTAAAGTGTCTGTGTTATTGCAAACTTTGCTTCGGTTGAAACGGAATTTTATATTTTAAAGAAGTGACTCCTTGTTACTTCTCTGAGCATGATTCTCAGAAAGTAAACACTGAAGGGTTATGGAAAAAAAATTTTGAGTTATTTGACCAAAATCTTCTTGCACAATTGTTGCAAATAAATGCACATTCAGTACTTTGTATAGAACTAACTAGTCTCTACCTGGCCAGTTGCTTGCACTTGCCATAATAGTAACAGCAGACCTACTAAGCGTATGATTTACGCTTCAGAGGTAGTTCCAACTATGACTTTCAAAACAGGAATGCATTTATTTATTTTCATTTAAAAGAAACCACCACAACTTGCATTCTCAGGCGTTTTTGAACATCTGTTAGCTGAATTCTTTACACGTGTATGCATTTAGATACATGTATATAAGTAAAAGTTACAAATATTAACATTTTTTAAGCCTGAGACTCCTACCAGAGCTCAGGCCATGATTATTGTTATATATGGTTTTAGTGTACTCTGAAAAAACTGACCTTGGCTTTGGTTCCTCTGTGCCATGGTTTGACTACAAGGATTGTTTTAAATACAAATTTTACAAAAAAAGTAGGCAAAAATAATGAAATAATGGGTTCTCCCTAAGGAAGGTAGTTTACACATGAAGAGTTTACCCATGAAGGCTGAGAACTTTTTATCAAGACAGTGAATACTCAAGTCTGGTCATGTAGAGCTGTAAATAGTCAGCATGGAAATGGAGAAGTTGCTCGCAACTATGATGAATTAAAAAGGACTGTGAAAGGCTGATGCTTTTGGAGCATTACCAGAAAGAGACGTCTGTAAGACCAGCTCAAGGTTTACTGGAGTAGCCAAAGAAGAACCAGGGAGAAGAACGTCGTGGAAATTGGGGGGAAATTTCATCACGTGCAGCGGTGTTGATGGCAGCAGATGTTGCTGTAAGCGTCGCTTCGAAGGAGGGCTTAAATATTAGCCAGAATATTTTTATTAAGCAGCGCATGGAAGTGGAAGGAGTTTGAGATTGAGGAGAACTCCAGACAGCAACTCTCAGAGCTGTGGAGAGGAAGGTGCAGTGTTGAGTACGTTCTGCCCAAGTGAGCAAGGTTGCTTATAAAGTAAGAGGAAAGGAAGAGCTGGAGTGGGGGTGTAAGGGATGCTGGGAGCCATTCATTACCTGTGAGATTCAGAGAGGGTCAGAAAGTCCAAGCCACCCCTTTTGTTTTCCCTTGCCCTTTCCTGTTAAGTCCCTAATACCATGTGGTTTAAATGGAAGTTGAAGAGCTGATCCTGGAGAGTGATTGATTGCTTGCGGGAACTAGATCCCAAGTGCATCGAGTTACTGTTCTCAAGCTTGGAAGAGGACTAAAGAGAAGTTCAATAGATTAACTTGCAAACTGTTTTTCCCCTCCAGTCAGCTGAGAGCATCCTCGGGGATGTAATGCTCTTTCTGCAGGAACTGGGGGCAAAGGTTCCATTTCCGCTTCACTTCAGCCACAACTTCGCAGTGTTATTGCATGAATTTCTTTGTCTCTTGGCTTTCTTGGGTATTTTAAAGAACACGTCTTCTTAACTGCTATATGGATCTTTAAGTGATGACTGGAAAGTATTTTTCAAGTCTTGAAAGACAAAGTAGAAGGGAAAACGATAGGAAATGCACAGATGGAATGGACAAAACAGTTATGTTGTGTTTAGAGATAGAAGTGATGAAAGTTTGCCTCATTAAAAGATCCGGATCTGTCAACTGTTCTTTAGATTGATTGTGGAATCCACTAGCTAATTGTAGTCATAATTTGTCAAACATGTAGAGGGGTCCTAGGTAGAAACAGATGAAGCCAGTAGTGCTTTTTCAGTTCTGGGGAGTGATAGGTGTAGGTCAAGTTGAGAGACATTAGTAAGGTAGTAGTTATTTATACGACACATGTTTAAAAAAACCAAATAAATCAATATTGAGCTGAATTTATGAACAAACTGAAGGGACTGTCCTTGAAGGCCAGCTATGCGGCTGCAAAAGGTGAGTGAGCAGTTCTTTTTTGGAATGGTGCGTGATCCGAAGGGAATGAAGTCACCTTCTTCCCCCTCCCTTTAGTCAGAAAGGATTGCTTATATTTGAAACCACTAGAAATGGGTCTTTTAAATGTTCAGTGCTTTTTCCTGGGAGCCCTAAGAGCTTGACGTTAAGGAGGGAAAATGATTCTAATCTCAACGTGGACTGGGCTGTGCTATAATTTTATATACAGTCCCTATTGTCAGAGTGATACTTTCAGTATGTTTTTTTCTCCCTATAAATAGACAGTTTCCTTCCAGAGGAAATGAAACTGTTTGAAATAGAGGGATCTGTGTTTCTTTGAAAATCACATGCGATTGTTCTTGTGTTATAAAATAAGAAGAGCCTTTGACAGAATTCCAAATGATTATCTTTAATCTCTGTCTCATGCCGGCATATTAAAATGAACACAAAGCCTTATAAACCCTGAAGTAGGTTATTTAGAATCCAATCTCCCTTCAGGTAAATCACAGAAGCACAGACTTCACTGGGCTAGTCAGGATGCACGAGGAATTCCATCCACTCTTATCCGCATTTCGATCGAACAGGAGGCTCGATACTGGTCTGAAGTGGTGCATGTGGTCAGCACTGCAAAGTATTAACATTATGAAAACCTTAGGGCAGATTGTCCCCTGACAGAAACCAGTGCAACTGCCTTCAAATTAATGACTTTGTGCCAATTTAAAACACAGTCTTTAGCGTGGTGCTGTACTTCACCATTACTGCGTGAACGTACAAAGGTACGTACAGGCACCTTTTAAAACCTCGCTCTTAGCGAGGAGTTAGCATCTCGGCGTGCCCGTGTTAGGAACTGACTTTCCAAGGTCGTTAAATGGGATTAATGTTTCAGGCACAGTGCTAATCCACCGGAGCAAGTTAGTCCTGTGCTTTTATGTACGAGTTAAAAATTCAGATATTTTGTCTATAGAGCAATGCACTGCATAAATGTTATTTGTTGTTATGCCTGTTTTCTTCGCTCTTATGTGAAAATGAACCATGTGTTCTTCTGCTTACACTTTGCATAAAAAGATGAGAAAATATGGTTGCACTTTATTTTTTTTAAAAGCTACCTTGAATTGTTTTCATTGAATTTTGTTTCCATCCGTTAAGCTGTATTGAATCCAAGGTAGTAGCTTCTTCCTCTAGTTACGATTTTCTTCTGATGCTCCTTGGTGTTTTCTTTTGTTGCGGATCCCACAGGGCCATCTCCACATAGCCCAGGTCCCTCAAGGCGAGCAAGTCCAAATCACGCAGGACAGCGAGGTGAGCCAAACGTTTGGGTGCCCGCGGAACAAATCCTGGCGGGAACTTAGGGCCCCGATTCTAAAAGCGATCGGCTACGAGACACTGCTGAGACCCGCGGGGGTTGGAGCCTGGCTGAAACGTGCTTTATGGCAGAAATGCAATATGCTGTTTCTCTCTCTGGGGTTTTTTGGGTTCCTTTTTGTTTGTTTTGGGTTTCTAGGTTTGGGATTTTTTTTTATCTTGACAGATATATTGGAGCAAGAAGTGACCTTACCTTCGGTACTGGTCAAGTGGTCTGGCACTGCAGTATTTGCACTTTATAATTTTTCCTTACAAATAAAACAGTAGAATGGAAGTGGATAAATCCAATACTGAACCTACCAATTTTTTTTTTTTTTCCCCAATCAGACAAAACAGCTGTTAAAGCCAGCTGAATTTACCTGAGAGCGCTACTCTTGGTTATTTAAGAAGGTATAGAGACTCCTAACTGCTAGAACTGCTCTTAGATTTCTTGTGCTCTTAGCTTGTTTATGTGAAGAAGCAATAGCAAAAGAAGGTTAAACATAAATGCAGACTACAATTTTAATCTATAGAGTTTTTTTGCTCAATGTTAAGCATATCTCCGTCTAGTTTAATTTAATCCAATTCCAAAGTACCCTAAATCACATCTCATCAAACCATTTTTGGTGCAGAGGAATATAACACAGGGAGCTATATTAGAATAAATATTACTGTGAATATTATATAAATATTATAGTTAAAGGCAGTCTCCTTTGAAGAGCTTGTCAGACTTAGAGAGAAATAAGATGTTCTGGGTCTGGAGGAATACATAGTGTGCTACAGTAAAACTGAAGCAGTTCTGGGGTAAAGAGCCACTGAAACAATTCTGGTTAAGCAGATAATAGTTTTAATTGATCCTGAGGTTCAGGCACACGCTGGTGGCCATGGGCATCATCTGAAGTTCCCATACGTGAGACTTTTAAGGACTCCATTTGTCCGTGACAGATGAAAACATCTGGTTTAAAAATTATTACAATGTACACAGCTTCCAACAAGAGGAAATGCTGCCAGTAAGAGAAAATGCAGAAAAGATGTAAATCAAAGAACTGGTATTTTTTCCTCAAAGAGATGTGCCGTTTCACTGCAGGTCTCTGCGTTCAGGAACCTGGTTTTTCTTAATCTAAGAGTACTTTCAAAAAGACATCTCTGAGCCTATGAATAAAAACTTCATTTTGTGAAGACACTGCTTTCCTTTTTAGACTTTGTAGCTAGTTTCCTTTATAATACTTTATGTTATTGGGATTTTTTTGTAATAGATGCAATTCCTGTAACAGAACTATGTTGATATTTGGTATCGAATTTTGATAAAATAGAATAAAAAATCCTTTAGCACTGGCATTAACTTTATAACAACAAATAGTAAATAGCCCTCTATGCATGGCAAAGGGTAATATTGATAATTCTAGTTTAGTAAGGATTTGACTTAAATTTGCAGTTTTATGTAAGTAAGGATAACCAAACGTCTTACCTCAGAAGCCATACCAACAAAATTTGCATGAAAATACTGTACCTTTTACAGTAACTTTCAAAAAGCAAAACCCACGGGTGCTGAAAAGCCTCCTTGCTTTTTAGTCTGTTTATCCTCTGTGGTTAAAGTGCTGACCATTGGATTCTTGCTGGATTGCCAAAATAACCCTCAGCAGAATTTCCTAAATTAATAGATTTCCTTAATACCGCTGTTGTTTAATAATGAGATGAGAAACAGGCGTTTTTCAGGACAGAGCAACTTTGGAAATCCCCAGGTTGTGTTTATTGTCAATGCTCTTGTTTTACAGGGAAACCTGCAGATACATCAAGTTCACGTGGGTCAGGACGGTCAGGTAGGAACAGAACTGAGTTTTAAGCAACATTTTCCTTCGGTCGTTAAAATGAATGTGGCGGTTGGAATGATCTCACGTTATTAGCGACTGTTTTAAAGAGCAAAATCTGGTCTTTCCGTTTAAATAAACAACTTGGGAAACGGTAAAATGTAAGCAGAGTGTTTGGAGCGGGGACTGCAAATGTTGGAGCAAACTTGCTTCATTACTCCCGCAATATATTTTTGCCCTGTGTTTTATACCTTGGTTTTGGTCTCTTCCCTCGTACATATCTAAGGGGATTGATTCCGCTGCGTACGGCGTGTTCTTTTCTCTGTTACCCGCTGTCGCTGTGGCCAGATGTGGACTGCAGTCCGCGCAAAGCTAAGAGCATTTATTGCTGAGGTTTAAGCAGCTATTTTTTCATTATATGGCTGTCCTGGGAGAAACAGATCTTTCACATCTGCTTCTGTTCTTTTTGATAAGATGGCTTTATTAGGTGCTTATGCATACATGAGGTAAGAAAAGAAGCTTCTACTTGGAGTGGTGAGTCAATAAGTGATTAAATTAGCAGAATTTTCATGTCAGGTGTCAGCATTTGGTCTGCGACACGCTTTACGAAATGTTGAGCTATGTTAAAATATCCACAGCACAAAAATGCTCCTGTAAGAAGCTTTCTAGCCAGACCACATGAATGTGTTGCGATTTTTTTTTTTCCTGTTGAATATTAATAAGTTGTGAGACATATGGCTAGAACTTGAGTACTGCTCAGAATTGAAAAGACTCACATCATGAAGATTCTTGAACTGAAAGGCCTTGAGAAGCTACCAGTACCTGAGCGTTTGACCACACACAGTATTTGTGTGGGGAAATAATCTAACTTATATTTAAAAAAATAAAAAACATAAAGATAAAAACCAACCCAACTTCATAAGTGATCTTTACTGAGACTTAATCAGAAGTACTTTTGCAGCAGCGAGACTCAGAAGGGTGATTTTTTGGAGATGTGTCAGAACCTTTTGTTTTAGTACTTACTGTTCTTTTTTCCTTCTTTGCAAAATAGCGCTGTCCAAGTGAGATCATCTCAAGAGACTGATATTGGGTGGTGTTATGTCTCTCCAAGAGTGGCACATAGATTAAGTGTGGGTTGTTTTGTTTTTGTTTTTTTTAAAATTACAGCCTAGTCCCATTATTTTTCCCCTTGAAATATCTGTTCACAAGAAGTACTCCCCGAATTACATCTCTCTCTTAAGCAGATCCAAAGAATGTAGTTTAAAACGTTGTAGGGAGTTTGTGCTGGTTTTAAGGGAAGAGCCTGGATGACCCTATTTTCCTGAAACCCCTGTTATAGGCAGGGAGAGGCGAATCCTTTTGTAGAACAGAAGCGTTTGTCTGTGTCTCATGCTAAAATAGTCATGGGGTAACAAAGTGGAAATTCTGGACTAGTAAAAAAACCTTCCAAACTCTTAAATGCCTCTAAGTGGAGTCTTGCTGATCATGTGAGCAGTCACATTAGTACGTGAAGAATAAGACTACGGGGGAAGGAAGGTGTTCCAAAAGTAGGGGGTTATAAATGTGTGCCAACACGTGTCCGTAGGGATCTGCGATACCGCTGAATGACACAGAATGTTATATTTATATATATAATATTCTGTGTGATTATATATATGATTCTGTGATATATATATATATGTTTGTGGAAGTGCGTGAGAGT